TGGTCAAAGCCAGAGGAGCAGGTTTGGCTACTGCCCAGCCTGGCCACGCTCACTAATGCCTGTCTGGCCCCTCAAAGCCATCAATCTAGGGGATGGAGTTATGGGGAGGGGACCACATCAACAGACACAGATCCCCTGGGGATGGGCAGCAGGAAGAGAGAGAAAAAGCCCAGGCAGCCCAACACTTAACCCCTTCGTGGCCTCAGACAGCCCAGGACTTGCCCTGCCAGGCCGTCAGCGTGCCTGGCTGCACCCCGCGCCAGCGGGAATGGGCTGGATCCCCAAACTCGGTGTGCGTGCCCTCCCGTGGCACACCTGCTCTTACCGTTCCAGGTGACCTCCAGCTCCTGCGGGAGTAAGGGGATGGTCCTGCCTTCCTTCAGTGCAGGGCTCACGTACGAGGCGAGGTACGGGACGGACTCCCAGATCTGTCAGGGGAAAGGAGAGGATTCTGCATGAGGTTGCACCCTCCCCGTACGTCCACCTCTCAATCTCCCACTGCTCTTGCAAGCTGCTCCTGTCCATAGCACACCTAACGCGTGTGGACGTGGGTTTAGCCTGGGACCAGGCCGAGGGCCTCTCCTGTGCAGCACACATGGGCTGCAGCGAGCACCACAGGGCTGGAGAGGAGTGTCCGCATGCCTAGGAGTGGAAGGAAAGCAACTGCCTGCGGGCTGGAGTGGCAGATCAAGGCTCAGAACTCCTCAGCTCTGGGTTTGTCTCCACCCGAGTGGCTTTGAGCAGTTACCCGAAGCCATTTCGTTTCAACCCAGGGCACGGTGGGGCAGGAAACACAGCAGAACTCAAAGGCCTGAGAGAAGAGAGAGCAGCCTGGAAGTCCCTGTGAGAGAGGAGGCATTGCTGGCAACCGGCAGCGACCCGGCACAGCTGCGCGATGCTCTACGCACGAGCGAGGACCAAGTGCCAAAGGGATGCGCCCTGGTCTCCACGCGACAGGAGGCACAGGGAGGAAGAGATGGGGATGCCCCTGCCTGCTCTGACCACACCGCTCCCTCGGCAGCCCCCGGGACACGGAGCCCAGAGTGGAACCTGCTGCGTAGGGAGGAAGGTGCTGGGGCTGCTGAGGGAGCCATGAATCAGAGCTGTCCTCTCCCCCCAGTGAAGGCTCTTGCCCATGGCTATATATAGTGCTGAGAGAAGCTCGGGGGCAGGTTTCAGGCATTACTGAAAGCCTCATTACTTCATACCAAAAGCAGCCTAATAGCGAGGGCCGGCGGATGAATGGGCAAAGCGCTGGCCCTGAACCGCAACAACGTCACCCCATGGCGTTGCCAGTACGGGACCCGTCCCTGCCTCAGGGCTGGGTTGGCTCTACGTGGCTCCGGGGCATGCCCGGGGCAGGGAGGGGAATTACCTTGGCAGCGTTAACCAGCCTCCAGGCGTTCAGCAAGCCGAAGCCGTGCTGATGGCTGTGGCTGAAGCCGGCCTGGTTGACGTCCCACTTCGCGTGACGATCCTCGTACTGAAAAGAAACGCGTGACGCTCTCGTTACCTTGGGGGATGGCGGCAGCCCTGCAAACCCAGAATAAAGGGAACCGGGCCTGAAGGGAAGGAGGCTCAGAAATATCCCACAGCAGCAGGGAAGCGAACCCACATGGCCTTATTAGAAAGAAACAGGTTGACCTTTGTTTGAAATAAGTCCCAGGACAAACAGGCTTCCCAGCTCCTCAGAAAGGAAATCAAGCAGCACGAAAGGGCACAAATGCCTCTGCTCTGAAACATCCCAGCTGCTCCCTGCCGCCCGAGCCACAGGCTGTGGGATGGCAGAAGCCTTGGGGAAGAAGGAACCGAACCCTTTAAATCAACAAGAGCTGGGCCAGGACAGATCTGGGTCCCATCACTTATCAGGTTGTAGTACTCCAGCAACGCTGGCTTGCAGTTGTGGAAAACACTGCCCTGTGCCAAAGCGAGTACAGCATTAGCTGGACGCGGACTCATGCTCCCCAGAGGGGTGCGGAAGAAGCCCTGTCCCTAAGCCGAATCGGGCAGCTCCACTCAGTTCCCACTCCTGCCTCTGAGTCGAGGTGGAGCAAAAGGTCTGCTGCTGAGCTCTCCGTTATGTCTGTTTTCAAGATCCTGACTCTCCAGAGAGCCTGAGGAAAGGGCAGGGCAGAGCTCCACACTTTCCCACAGCATGGACTGCAGGGTGGCATCACGGACATGCGTGCTGGCCGGCCCTCCCTTCGGCTGGGCCAGCCGCATCACACGTGCACACACACTCCCGGTGTCTGCGGGTGAGGCACGGTGAGCCCCTGGAAGACCTGTACGCTGCAGATGGAGGCATTCCTTGAGCAAATACCCCATTTGTTATCATGACAGAGGAAAATGCCTCAGCCGCATTCCTGAGAGGAACAAGGGGTGAGGGGAAAACGCAATTCCTTTGCTGGGAGCCAGACAACCGAGAGATTTACAGAAGGGCAGACAGACATAAACAAAGATGTGCGCAGCAGGACCTCGGCTGTCCTGCAGCATCCCTGAAGGGCAGCAGGAGGGAGGGAGGGAGGGAAGGAGAGAGCGCCGCTCACCTTCGTGGCAGTGAAGACAATGATGTGCTGGACGTCTCGCCAGGTGAGACACGGCCGCACCTGCAGCATCAGCGCGATCATCCCAGATCCCAGCTGCAGGGGGAGCGGCAGCAGACGTCCCCGTGTGACCCTCTGTGCAGCCTGTGCCCTTCTGCAAATCCCAGTCTGTTGTCACCTGCCGAAGAAGAGGAGAGATGCCTCCTGTCAGGCCACTGTTTGCCACGCTGGGCTGGCTGGCACACGTACTGGAGCAGCTGAGCATGCAGCCCCGGCCTTGAGCTGTGCCCTGGCCACACCAGCTCCACCGGCAGGCCACCCTCAGCCCGCGACACAA